AGAGCATTGAAGCCTTTCTCTATCTGTAAAACTACCTCTTCCATAAGGTATTTAAAAGACTCCCTCCTGTCAAAAGTATTTTCTAATTATTTTAATTAATTATCTCTCTTTAATAATAGCGAGTGATATGCAGCAATGGACCCAAGGGATTGAGAGTGTGGAAAAAATGAATATATTAAAAGCTTTAATGTCATCAGTCCATTTTCAATTGGCACACTCTTGTTTCGAAATCCGATCGTTTTAGATGTCGCTTTTGTGTAAGTAGTTATGGAAGCATTCTAACCTGATGACCGGACCAATTTATCGACCCCTTCGCAAAACATTAAGTACAAGATGTTCTCCCAACAGCCTTTCTTTCTTCATTGTTCATTTAGAGATCATATTTATCGCGCATCAGGCGTGACTATAAGTGTTATAATCTCGTTCTCATGATGTCTCCAAGTGATTTTAGACTAACAACTCCCATTCTGTCCTGGTTGATGAAACGACACGTGGCTCCCGCGAGGTTTTTCTGTCTCGCTGTTCCAATTGGTACACTCATGTAATGCAGTTTGTTCAGTTAAAAACAATTTCCGCGAAACTGAAAGTCTCACCGCGTTTAGTCTCTCGCATGTCACAGCCTAACCGACATCATACCTGGTGCAGAATGGATACCTGTGCCTCAGGCGTTTATTTGTACATTTTCCTGTATTGTCACACTCAACAGGCGATGTAGAGAAGAGAATCCTGTTGCTGTTAATGCAGAGGTCAACGCTCTCATCGGTGAAAATTCAGACGAAGCAGATGCAATAATCTATACAGACGGATCCGTTATACGCCAAAGAAGAAGCGCATGGGCATTTACAGCACGCTCAGCTGGCAGAACAGTCAAAGAAGCCAACGGCGCCTTCTCCATGACAACCAGCAGCATGACGATGGAGGTGATGGCAGTGACACAAGCGCTTGCCTGGCTTGAAACACAAAAATACACCTGCGTGTGTAAACTCAGTGATTCAATGAGTATGATCCGGAGGGTTCAGGCAGGTTCAGTGCGAAGACAATGGCTTGAATCATTACAGAAGTCCACTGTTCGTGGAGTCACCTTTATTTTTGCTCCGGGACACGCAGGCGTCAATGGAAATGAAAGAGCTGACAGGTTGGCTGGATCCGCTATCACTACCGACGGTCAGCCTATGGATCATGCTGATATTATCAATGCCTTCAGAGAAATGGGAAGAATAGAGGACTTTGGTGGAAGTGAATCCACATCACTCGCCAGAATGGCAGACTTGGGAATTAAGATCGGCACAGCAAAAAACGAGACGCACACCAGCTACGCCAGAAGACTTGTTAATCAACATAGAACTGGTACTATTAGCCATCGGACGTTGGGGTTCATACTGAGGGGAGGATCTGAGCACCTATGGACATGTCCGGAGTGCAATGAGGATAACCCAACTAACTAACTAACTAACTAACTAACTAACTAACTAACTAACTAACTAACTAATGTCACAGATGACGTCTTTTCTGTCCATAGATAACCCATTCCTGATAGTCGTACTGTCTTTTACTTATAGGGTGTCTGCCGTCTCATTGCCAACAGTCTGATAGTATTACTGCAGAATGACCATCGATCGGATATCGCCGTTCACAAAGCAACAAATACCCACCGCACCCTCCTGCACCATGAGTACACACTCTGCTTACGTATTTCTGCGTCCAGCTGCCGTCCGTTGCTATGGCAACTGATGCGCGCTCAAGTGTTGTTAACGCTGATGAGTGACCTTACGCTTTCGCCTGTCAGCCAACAGCAGCCATTGCCAACCTACAGGGTCTGTTGGTACTTTCTGAGACATCATCGTACCTCAGCTACCCCTGCGTTATAGAAACAACATGAGGTTCGCAAATCCTAGTCTGGTTATAGGTAAGAAATACACCCTTTTCTCTCGTTTTGCAGAGCCATTACTTTGACCTACAATGTCTCTGTACCAATTGGCAATATTCAACACGTATCATAGTCATACACTCCTCTTCTTCTTTTGATGCTGCTAAATTCTATCCCCAGTTAAGCATAGGCCCTCAACCACCTCACGCCAAGTTGTTTTATCCTTCGCTATTGCACTTGTCCGCCCCATTGAACTTTACTCTCTAGCCTCCCTTCTCTGTGTTGTGTGTGTGTGTGTGCGCGCGCGCGTGTGTGTCTGTGTGTGTGTATGGTCTGCCTTTATTTCTATATTCCTCTCATAGAAGTGAAAGAAATACTAGTTATATTGTTGTCAGGTTTTTTAAGCGTGTGTCCTAGCCAACGCCAGCTTTTTTTCTTCACCTCTGGGTCCACTGTAACTTGTTTAGGTCTCTCCCAGGGCTCAACATTAGTGATTATGTCATACAGTTTAAATCCCAGTATTCTGCAAAGGTATCAGTTAATGAATATATGTAGTTTATTAGTAATTGTTTTAGTTGTTCTCAATGTTTCGGCTCCATCCAACAGTACTGATTTGACATTATAATAATTAACAATTCTAAGTTTAGTTTTAGTTTCACTCTCGTTTGACCTCCACAAATTTCCTAGTGCAATGAAAGCTTCGGTTGCCTTTTGTATTCGTGTTTTAATTATTCTAATATCTCTATCAGTTCCACCATCTCTACATGCATTACTGTCCAGATGGGTGTATAACTAACTGCACATCTTGGAGTGAGATCCCATTAAGAGAAACTATTTGCCTGATTTATTCTCATTATCGTTGTTTTTCCCTCATGTATCATCAGACCTGTATCAAACATTACTTCAGAATAGTTTTCCATACAAACCTAGCATACGATACAACAACATCCAGCATGAGAATGGAGGTGGAGGCGGTAACTGCAGCTTTCCGGTGGTGGCTAGAGAACAAGATGCATGCACATGTCACAACTGTAACAGACTATGAAAGCATGCTGAGAAAGGTGAAGACATGGATGCTTTGAGCAGACTGGCAAGCTTCACTGGGAAGGTCACAGGTAATGAGCATACTTTGGATCTTTTCCCCAGGCCTTGCAAGAGCGGTGGGGAATGAACAGGTAGACAGGTTGGCTGGATCTACACCCCTGCCTTGTGAATTAATGCATGACAAGGCAGATGTGGTCAGGGTCCTTTGGGAATAAGCAGCGGAATCAGAAGCGAAACAATATTATTACGGCCTGTGGAGATAAGGCACCTCAGTTTAACCAGAAGGTCTTACTTCCTCACTACACTCGGATGAAAGGCAACACCGACATATAACCAGATTACTATCAGTACTATTAGTATTGAAATTCCGCCTTAGTTGCTGAAGATGAGGGCGGAGCACGCATGGGAGTGCCTCGAGTGCTACAATGTCAGTTCTTGACACAGCTCAGCTCAACTCCAATATATTCGTCACTACTGGTTTCTCCACGACACCATTCCTATGTGTTGCGTATTAGCTTTCTAATGGTCACAAAGGTGCAGACAATCGTGCTCTATGCAGAGTGGCAAACATCGCTTCAGACACCCCGGGTAGTTAGCGTCCTTTTCCAGGTTATGCCGGTATGTTGGTAACCGAGCAGGTAGATAGACTGGCCAGTTCTGCACCACTTGGTGGTGAGCTGATGTATGGCAAGCTAGATGATGTGAGGGCCCTCTGGGAGCGAGGGAACAGTGCGAAGGCACACAGTGATCGTTACGGTCTGGGGAGAAAAGCGCTCCGTCGAGTTAACGGGATCTGGCTGAAGCTCGACACTCAAGGGAAAGACGAGAGGCATACATAATCAGTTACTGGTGCCATCTGAATTGGAACTCTTTGCTTGCTGATGAAGATGAGGACAGAGGGCCAATGTGAGGATCCCGAGTGCTGTGATGTCGATTCTTGATTCACATTTAACAACAGCGTTCTTCGTCTCATGGGTTTCTTTTGGGCGTCTTTGCCTCTTTAAAACCTTTATTTTCCATTTTAATGCCCGTTTTGTGATTCTCTGTTGGATTCTTCCCAGGATGTGTCCAATGTAGTGCCGTCTTCTCTGTCTTATAACTGTTGATACTAGTAATTGCCCAGATGTTTCTCTTATATCTTCAGTTCATGTGGATTCATCGTACTTTATTTTCATCATTTTTTCCTAGACAATTTTTTTACACACATTTAGCTTTCGTTCCATGTCTTTAACGGTTCACTAACTGCGTTTCTTTTTATTCTTTGGTCATATCATGAGGAGGTTAAAACTGGAAAATATCGCGACAATGGGAAACCTTGAGTGGGAATGGTCAAAAATCAAATCGTTGACATCGTGCTATGGGAGATAATATGTGTCAAAAAGATTGCACATTTACGAGACGGCTGGTTGTTCACTGTCATCGCTGTACGGCATAGACTATAAATAACGAAGACTGCGCCTGTGTATCATATATTTATAAATACGCCACAATATGGGACCTAATTTTTTTTTTTTACATTTTAAAGCCGCATCCCGGCTGTTGTCAGGGGCCCTAATTCAACATAACGGTTGAAGGGGATTTCTGGGACTTGTTTTCGGATGATCCGCATCCGAATAGGAGCACCTTGTGTCACCGGGTGTTGATTGCTTGTTGTGCGGCCCTGGTGAAGTTGAACGCCACGTACTCAATTGTATTTTATGTGTTACTGTTTACGTGTATCGTTGTAATACTATGTGTGTGTACCATTGTATTATTATATAATTACCATTGTGCAGGAAGCCTAGATAAGCTAGTTGCCGTCGTTGCCTGCGCTGGATTCAGTCTGAAGGACAAGTTAAAAGCCGAGAGGCCTGAAAAGGGCCTAGGCTCTTATAGCGTACGAAGCGCTCCCAAGCCGGCTCTGACAGCTGGCACCCCAGGGACCCCTTCGCTAAGTGCATTGAGTGGCAGAACCAACGGTGGGTGCCCAGAGGAGAAGAGCAACAATCCCTGTGCCACCAAAACTCCACCCGAGGCTAAACCAAAAACATGCGGCGGGGGCAGCAACAACAACAAGGAACCTCGCGCAGCCCCCGCAGCGGATTATGAAATGAGATCTCCGGCGCAGGATCAACTCAACGAGTTCAAGAAGAACAAGACGGTAAGTGTTTGCGTCCTGAAAATACTAATTTAATCTCTGTCAGTTGACCTTCTTTGATTGTCATGTATTTCTCATGCATTTCTCTTTGTGACTGTAAGGAGCCGCCTTCGTTAGCAGCTAGGCGCTCGCCTGAGGATTGGAAGGTCGTAAATCCAGGTCCTGACGGAGTCAGACTGTTGTCCAGACACACAGAAAATAACTTTGGCTCCTGGGTCGACCCAGCCTTAAATTGGTACCAGGAACAGTCTTGGGAAGTAAAGCGACCGACGTGATGTTGACCACATCACCCATCGAGTGCCGACTGGTCTGTATCATATAGGCCCAGCCCTATATGCCCAATATGCCTGTAGGTGTGGAAAAAGGTCCTTAATTTTCCTTTTACTGTGATTGTACCTGTTTAACAAAGCATGATGAGACAGATGGAGACAAGTATGCTTGGTGCAGAGTTGTAAGCATCCTTTCAGAGGCCCCATGTTGCTAGCGTCCTACACAACAATTTCCCCACGCGTGCTTTCTAAGTGATTCCATGAGCATGCACAAGAAGATAGAGACAGGATGAATTTAAACAAATATAGTTGGTGTCACTGATAAAAGGAATTAGTTTCATTTTTGTGCCAGGATACTCTAGAGTAAGAGGGAATGAACGAGCGGATTGACTTGCCGACAGGTCCGCGGTAGGTATAGGAAAAGCAATGACCCGGGCCGACACTCTCAATGCTCTCAAGGAGAAGGGACGAGAAGATGATTCAGCAGACGAATCGGCAACACTTCAAAAACTCCAGGTCTAAAGAGGTGTCGCGAAACATGAACACTATACAGGTGCCCAGAGAAGAATATTGTGAACCGACACAGAACTGGTGTTTTCAGTCGCCACACGCTGGGGGATATCATGAAGATGGGATCCGAGCGCCTATGGAATTGTCCGATGTGCAGTGAGGCTAATCTATCAATTAACTAACTAACTACTAACTAGTTAGCATCCTTTGGCTTTTACCCCCAAGCTGTTTATGTGTAATGGAAAAAGGACAGACAGGCGTATTGGCTGGTTGTGTATCACTTAGTTGTAATTTCAAGCATCTCAAGGTAAATGTTGTCAATGTTATTTGGGAGAGAGTGAACTGAGGAGAGGCACACAAAAACCATCACTGTCGAAAGAAAATAGTACAGCGATCTGCAACAAGGGGATCCAACCGACACTCCAGACTCGGGGCAAATGGAAGAGGGATATAATCAGAATGCTACTGCACTGTTGAAATTGAAACTTCTGTCGCTACTGAAGATGGGGACGGACTGCTTATGGATATATTTTTTTTTCGAATGATGTGATTTCGATACTTAACGCAGCTCAACTCATATAAGAATTGATGTTGTATTTTATTATATATATTTTTTTAAAAAGCCATTTGCTCTGCTTCTTAAACTAGAAATGCATTTTTTTAAATTAATGAAATAAAATAGAAATAAGAGAAATATTTCGGTCACATTAAAAGACATGCCAATCTTTTAGATATAATACTGGAAGGGAAACGTGGGGGACAAGAGGTAGACAGCGATATAAGGGAAAGATAGATAGATAGAGAGAGAGAGAGAGAGAGAGAGAGAGAGAGAGAGAGAGAGAGAGAGAGAGAGAGAGAGAGAGAGAGAGAGAGAGAGAGAGAGAGAAAGGGAGCAACATCAAGAGATGGACGGACTTCACTGAGACCGTGCACCTGCAAGACAAGAGACAGCGCGTGTTGGAGATCCATTGGGCATTCACGGCACCTGACGGATCATATTGTGAAACAGTGTTTCAACTGGCTTTGTGTTAAGGATCTGGATCTTAGGGGTAAGTGAACGCGACCATTTCGATGTGAACCCTTCATACATCAGTTCGATTTCCGCAGACCATTAAGGAGCAAGAAAGAGATGTATAAATGGTGTAACTGAAACCTGTAAAAAGAGGAACAAATCCCCCACACAAGCCACCAGAGAAGCGCAAGACAAAATACAGAAGACAACTACACTGGTCTGCAACCTGGTATCACTGAGACGACAAATGAAGAAGGAAATTTCCGCCCGGTGAAGGTTTAAAAAAAATTGGTTTCGAAAAATGGAACGAGAATCTCGCTTTGGATGAGACTGCGGTTTCTACGGGTAAAATGTTCAGCAATCTCCACTGAAGATGAGAAAAACAAATCTACAGGGGGAGGCTCTGTAATAACTTTGTCGAGCATAGAAACAGTTATTAGTGAGAAGGAATAAGTTAATAAAACAGTTCTGTGCTTAACAAACAAAAACGGATTACTACTATTTTCTACTCCCTCACTCGCGTGGCGTTCATGTACGCAGTTCTTGATCATCATCATCAAGAAGCAGGTCCTTTGCAGAAAGTCACTCCCATCGCGGTCTGCCTGAAAGAAGCTTGGTCTCTTGCCAGCTTCCCGCCTCGTGTACTTTCATATTAAAGGAGTCATTTAAATTTTGAGCCCATCTTCGTGCTGGTCGGCCCCTGCCCCTCCTTCCTGGTACCATGCTGTCTGCTATTATTGCTTCCAATCCATAATGAGTTTCTTGGGATAATAATGTGATAGTTTTCCCCTTGCTTTCCATATCCACATGGCTTTAGACTATGTCCTCAGCCTTCAGCATTCTTTTAGATTGCCAGGGAAAGTTAGTGCCCTGTTCTGTGATGCTCCTGCTAATAGCAGACGCAACCCCAGAGGTGTCCATTTATCCTAGTGACGATAGAAATAATAAAATACAGTTTTTAAATAATTTTTCTAGAAGAGCTCAGTTATAATGCAAAATGTCCAATTTAATTTAAACTGCATTTACACAGTCGGAATAGATGTAGCAGTAGGCTATAAATGCTAAACACTCGTTCATGTGCAAACTAAGAATTGCCGAAGCGATAAATAACTGGTCTTGGGGTTGATAATTATAATTTGCAAAAAGAAAGCAAAACAGACTATAGTCTGAGATGGCAATAGGTTCACTGTAGCATGTCTTTGTAGAGAGGGTAAGTAAAATAGTCGGACCTGACCCCACGACCTTCGGATCGGCAGGTGGGCGTATTTATAGACACGGTAAAGGACCCTTTTCCACGCCTCAAAGCATATCGGGTATATCTGACTAGACCTAAATTTTACACACTAATGGGCACACGGTAGGTAATATGATCAGCACCACCCCCCCCCCCCCCAGGTCGTCTATACTATAACTGGTTTTCAGTCAAAGCTGGGTCGACCTGTGTCGACATGGAAGAAAAAAATCCAGCTCTGTTAAAACCGAAACACATGACCACGACCGGCTCCTTACTTATAACTTCTTGTATTTGTTATTAATTTTATCACTATTCTATTTTATAATAACATACTTATTTATCTTCAAAATGATAATTCATTCAATAAAATAGTTTGCAAATTAATTTAAGTGTAGTTTATTTGTATATAAATCTACTCGTGAACACGGACCGGCCTCTCGGACTTTCACAAAAAACGGGATTTCCGTTAATCTAGTTGGCCTATTTAAAGCTGGAGGAGATCGTGCTGACGATCCTCCAATCCGCATGTGTACGCCTAGCAGCTTCACAGTGGCGGCTCCCTGTGGAGAGGGTACAGAAAAAAATGTGTGTGTATGTATATATACACTTTTTTCCCCCACAGGGAATCACCTACATAACCACCAGTGCCGGAGCCGCTGTAGGGTCCAAAACGGCATCACTGACCGTGGGGCAGCGGGGCACCATGCTGCTGCAAGACTTCGTTTACCTGGATGAGATAGCCCACTTCAACAGGGAGAGGATCCCAGAAAGAGTGGTACATGCTAAGGGAGCAGGTGAGAAACGCCTTTTTAAAAAAAAATCATTTAACATGTGTGTGATATTTCAGAATTCTCTTCTTGATTGGTAGACGAAGTGCGCAGGGATTCAAATCAAAAGCGTATGGACGTCACTTCATGCGGGGAAGGCTGGTATATAATATCACAACGTCTAGTTTGAGAATGGAGGTGGAGGCGTCACTGCTGCCTTCCGCTAGCTTGAGAATTAGCTGTACACGCATGCCGTAATTGTAGCAGACTCACAGAGTATGTTGAGAAGGATGGAGACAGGCATGCTCCTTGCAGAGTGGCAAGTATCGGGTTGTTAGCTTCTTTTGGGTATTTTATTCAGGTAATGCTGGTGTATTGGGAACTATCCAGGCAGATAGACTGGATGGTTCTGCACTATTTGGTTGTGAATTGATTTATAACAATCTAGATGTTGTAAGAAGCCTTTGTGAGCGAGTGAACGGTGCAAAGGCAGAAATGGATCATTACGGTCTGAGAAACTGGGGGAGTTACAAGGGGATCTGACCAATGCTTAACGATCAAGGGAAGGGCGAAACGGATGTACAATCAGACATTTACTGGTACCGTTAAAACTGGAACTCCTTGCTTGTTGCTGAAGAAAGGGACGGAGCACTTTTGGGAGTGTTCTGAGTGCTGTGATGTCTATTCTTAGTTAATTATTTAGCGTTTAACATTCACACTTCTCGTTCTTTCGGTTTATAGATACACTGTATATATATATATATATATAGGACCTGTTTCCATAGATGTGTTGGACATACAATGCTAGCCTCACATTTGAATAGATGAGGCGGCACTAGGGGATTTACTCGGTTACGATTACGAAATAAACTGCAGCATGCATGCAACATTGTCTAGCAATTTGATTTTCTAACAATTTCGTTTTCTAACATTTACTGGTAATGATGACGAAACATATACCCCCCCCCCCCCCCCCCCCCCCCCCCTTTTTTTTTTTTTTTTTGGTCTCACACACACACACACTTACACATACGCACACACACACTTACACATACGAGCGCACACTCACAAAGACACTTACACATACGCTCGCACACACACACACATATACACACACATACTTCCACATAAATACACACACTTTGAAATGCGCACACCTTGTCCTGCTAGACTAATGGCGGGTAATAGTGTTTATACTTCTGCTTGATCTTGTAAAGGTGCTTTTGGACAGTTCGAGGTGACCCATGATATCACCAAATATTGCAAGGCGGGATTGTTCAAGGTTGGCAAGAAAACCCCGGTCGCCGTGAGATTCTCCAATTTGGGTGAGGATTCTATTTGTGTGTGTGTGTGTGTGAGAGAGAGAGAGAGAGAGAGAGAGAGAGAGAGAGAGAGAGAGAGAGAGAGAGAGAGAGAGAGACAGACAGACAGACAGACAGACAGAGAAAATATTTCAATGGCACAACACCCGCAGTTGGCTCAATCCTGAAACCTTCTTTCAGGAAAATAGCGGATTTATCTTGTATGTCTCTGGCGCCTTTGCTAATTTTTTTTTTTTTTTACAGGTTTCATTTAGCTACACCAATTATCTGTCTCTGTCTCGTCATATGACATATGATGTCAGAGTTGTATGTTTATAGACAAATCTGCACTGTGTGGGCGATGCGGTCAGTATCATGTCGACGGCTTTTACTCCCCGGGACTTTACCAGGTTCTCATTTTAAAGCTGAATTGACTGACCCTAGAACCATGTCAATGTTTTAATTTTGAAGAGAAAGGCGCATCCGATTTGATGCAGAAGCGAACCCAGAACCTTCGGGGCGGCAGCATAGTGCTGAACCACTACACTATCAGAATACCTTGTCGAGTAATCTGGTAATCTCAGTTCCAACTTCATAGAAAAGGGTCACCCCATAGTTGGGTGAATGTAATATTATGTGCTGAAAACGGGACATGCCACAAATATTTTAAGCTGAAAACGGGACATGCCGCAAATATTTTAAGCTGAAAACGGGACATGCCATAAATATTTTAAGCTGAAAACGGGACATGGCACAAATATTTTAAGCTGAAAACGAAATCTCAACAATGTTTTTAGCTGAAAATGGGACATCTCACAACCCCCCCCCCCCCCTTTTCCACACACACATTTTCTCCTTTCCCCACTAACCGTACCTTTATTTAGGTCGTCGGGGTGAACGGGGTAATTTCTCGCTCAACAAGAGTAAAACCTCAAACTCAAGAAAAAATACAGAACAATGCGCTCTTTAAATGCGGTGGGGGAAAAAAAATCATGCTTCAATGAAAATTAGTTTCAACACATTTCAAGCATTGAATAAAAGTGTCTAAACATGCGAGGTCTAATAAGGTCTAAAGTGTATGTTCTATTCTCGAAATTATTCCTGCATTGTTATAAAACGGAACAGTTGTCGAATGTTTAAAGTACCGACGGAACGGCCTGGGCAAATCTAAAACAAACAACACAAATTATAAAAGTCCTGATGAGAACGGAACGAATGGTCACCCTACACCATAATGTTTGCTTCGTTCCTGTGCGACAAGACCACGCAGACTGTCCGTCATTGACACAAGGCTCTTGTCCAAGAAAAACTGTCCGTGACTTGTAACCAATAACCTGTTACTGTCAATGTAACATTGGTGCATCGTCAGGTAGCGAAAAGGGAATGGCGGATACAACCCGTGATCTGGTTGGATTCGCCATCAAGTTTTATACAGAGGAAGGCAATTGGGATCTAGTCGGGAGTAATCTGCCTGCCTTCTTCCTCCGGGACCCGATCCACGTAAGTGTCTGATGGCAAGAAACAGACCTTGCAGTCGAGACTTGACACATTTATACACTTTGATACTTTGACTTGGCACATTTATACACTTTGATACTTTGACTTGGCACATTTATACACTTTGATACACTGACTTGGCACATTTATACACTTTGATACTTTGACTTGACACATTTATATACTTTGACTTGACACATTTATATACTTTGATACTTTGACTTGGCACATTTATACACTTTGATACATTGACTTGACACATTTATACACTTTGATACTTTGACTTGGCACATTTATACACTTTGATACTTTGACTTGGCACATTTATACACTTTGATACATTGACTTGACACTGATAACCTTCATAAACTTGATACATTCACACATCGTTAGGAGCCACCTGTCTGCGTTTTTCCGCAGTGACCCGATCCACCGAAGTGGTTGATGGCTAGACACGAGTCCTGACAGTCTAGGCTTAATATATTCACTTGATAAATGTATACCCATTGATTCATTATTCGCATTGATAAACTTGATACATTAACTTGACACATTTATTAAACACGTTGATACATTGATACACATTGATAAACCTGATACACTTGATACATTCACACCTCGCTGCTTTCTTCCTTGGGAACTCAATCCATTAAAGTAGTTGATAGCAAGAAACAGGCCTGACAGTGACGTTTTTATATACATAATTTAGTTCACTCTTTCAATGTCAATGTTCATGATTTTGTATCATAAAGAACTACGCAGTATCATTGAGCTGGAGTTGAGAGGGGGGAGAGAGAGGGGGGAGACAGCTCTGGGAGAGAAACTATTATAGTAGCAATTAAAATACAAGGGGTTAACTAAACATAAGAATTGGAAAGTTATGTGTACGTCATAGAGGGTTACCGATTAACGTATTGTGAGTTCCTGGGGCTAAAAAGGAGGGCGAAGTAACTCCCACTTTATCCATGTATACAAAATATGTTGAATGTTGACTGTTGAATTAAGAATCGACATCATAGCCCTGGGGAGACTTCCATAAGCGCCCCGTTTCCCTCTTCAGCAGCAAGTGAAGATTTCCAGTTCCGATAGCACCAGTAACTGTCTGAACATCTGTATAAGTGATTGTATATGTGTGTATGCATGCATGTGTGTGTATTATGTAATGTGTGTGGGCATGTATGTGGGTGTATGTATGCATGTATGTGTGTATGTATCCATGTTTATGGATGTATGTATGCACATGTAGCTGTGTAAGTATGTGGGTGTATCTGTGTGTATTTGGATATGTATGCAAGAATCTATGTATGTGTGTAAAGATGTAGGTGTATGTATAGATGTGTGTATGTATGCATTTATGTATATGTATTGTGTATGTATGCATGTGAGTGTAAATGTGTGGTTGTGGGCGTATGTAGATGTCTGTAATGTGATTGTATTTGTGTGCATGCATGCATGCATGTGAAGTTGTGTATGTATGGAATGTGTGTGTGCATGTATGTCCATATATGTATGTGTGTGTTTTCTGTTTGTGTATGTATGTAGATGAGAGTAGGTAATATGTATTAGGTATATGAGTGTGCATGTATGAGAATGTAACAGTATTTATTCGTATGTGTGATTGTGTACACATGATGTGTGAATGCATTATTCTATAATGTATATTTCTGTATTACATCCATAACATGCATTATTGATAACAGGCACTGGTACTCTGAAAAATGAGTGCTTAGAAGGGCCGAATGTCAGACGAGCCTGCGTACCCAGTTTATAACCCTTTGAAAATAAAGTTTGTTTGTTCGTTCGTTCCCTTGAGTGTTGAGCGTCGGCCAGATCCCCTGATAACTCCCCGCATCACGATTCTTCTCAGACCGTTCTCTTTGTGCCTCTGCACTGTTCACTCGTTGCCAAAGAGCCTCACAACATCCAACTTATCATACGTAAATTCACCACCAAATGGTGCAGAACCGACGAGTCTTTCTGCTTGCTCGTTTCCCAAACACACCAGCATGATCTGGGGAAAATATCCAAAGGACGCTAGCTAATCGGAACTTCTGAAGCGATGCAGGCCACTCTGGACAGAGCATGCATGTCTCCACCTGTGTTAACATGCTCTGTGAGTCAGTTACAATTATGACATGTATGTACAGCTGATTCTAAGTCAAGCAGAAGTCAGCAGTGATTGCATCCACCTCCATTCTCAAACTAGATGTTTAAGTGATTAGAAACCTGCACAAGTCTGCTGTTTGCTCGGGTACTTTGACCTACTCCTCTCCTCACCACATTTATCAAGCCTGCCCACATATTTAATTGTATCTTTAGCTTTCACCACTCAAAACCTTTCCTTTTTCAGTCTGTGACCCTTAGTTCTACCTAGGGCTTTATACGGTAATTGCTTCTTGTCTATAGCTACTTTGAGAAATGACTTTGCAGAACTTCAAGCCTGTCTGCAATAGCAGGCAATGCAAGCATAAGTCGCATACATACTACCAGAGTGTTTCTTGCATATCTGCATTATGTATGCGTTCAAGTTTCATCAGCTGACTCTTTGATATGAAAAGCTGGCCAAGTCCATAATCTGTTACCGACAGGATCACATGCTGGAACTTTGTGAACAACATTCTTTGTTCAATGTCCGCTGCTGCCATAATCTTGAGGGCATTGAGTGCTTTTTTTTTTTTTTACCGGGTGCTGGGGATGGGGGGGATGGGGGGGGGGGGGGGGCGGCGCATTTTACCGCAACTACATGCACATGATTCCTGAAGAACAGGCTTCCAACGAAAATGATACTTAGATACTTTAGTTTTTTCTTTCTATTTTGATGTTTCTGTCAATAACTGAGAGGCTTGGAACATTAGCTCATACAATTCTATTGTCCAGAGAGCACTGTAAAACAGCCGTCTTTTCTGAGTTGATGACAGCTCTAATCTATACACCCCAGTCAGCCATTGGTGTGACCATAAATACAAATTCTCTGTAAATGCAATTGTTTCTACATGACGTATTATTTCACTTATAATATAATATTAGTTTTTTTTTTTTTTCATTTCAGTACATAATTATTAATATTTTATGCTGTTAAACTAGGATTAGGCCAATTAGCTCCCCCACCCTGCTTCCCATTTTGCCTGTATAATTTGTAAGGCGCAGCTGAGGTGTTGGGGAGAGACCTAGCCTTCTCTGCTTCATTGTTATTTTGGTTTTGGACGAAGTTGCCTGCGCGCGCGCGCACACACACTTACACGCGCACATATATCAGATTTATTAAACACTTGTCAACACCACGCGAATCATGTAATGCACTTTTTCTCAGTTCCCCAGTTTTGCGCATAGTCAAAAGCGAAATCCGGTGACGAATGTCAAGGTACTGATGTCCGTTTGTTGTTTCGTAGCGTTTTTTAACCTTCTTCATCCTTTGTTATTTTTTTTTTTTTTCAATTACTGTCTGGTAAAAGCGTTAAGTACAGGACCCTTTTCCACGCCTTGAGGTGTATTGGGCATAAAGGGTTAAAACTATATCTTATAGATCAGTTAGCACTCGGTGAGTGATGTGGTCAACTTCACGCCAGTCGTCTTTACTTCCCAGGACTGTAGCTGGTACCCAGGCAAGGTTGGTCATCCTAGGAACCAAGGTCAGTTGTGAAAAAAAAAAAAAAAAGTCCGGCTCCGCCATGACCTGAACCCTCGACCTTTTGATCCGCAGAAAAATAAAAAAAATAAAAATAAAAACGCTCCACCACTACTGTTTCCGAAGCTTTCAAAGGACCAGGAAATTTGTGAAGGTCAAAAGAAATTGAAACTAATATTCAACTTAAAATGTTTATTCCAGTGTCACATCAGTACTGTCATATTGTGCAGAAACATGAAGAAAAGCTAGAGCAATTACGACAGACTGCAGTATCCAACCCAATGTGGTGGAATGGTAGACTTGATACCACAAAGCTGGATATGCTGCAGTTTTATAAATACTGTTTCTACTTCTTCTTCTTCTTTTTCATCTGTAGTCGTCTTACTGATATCAGGTTGTAGCCCATTGTTGTGGTTTTCTGTATTTGTCTTGACTTCTCGGGTGGCTTGAGTGATGGATTTGTTCGTCTGTTTTGCAGGTTTCAGCAACACCATTTATCAGTATCTCTCCTGGTCTTCATCTCGCCTTTCTCATAGATGTCCTGAAGTTAAAAGTCTAATACGCAGTCAGGTTTGGCTGCATTCTTACTAGATGTCAGTTTCTACCTCACTAATATAATTAAATACATCTTTTTTTTGTTGTTGTTGTTGTTGTACGGAACGGTATCTTAATCATACTTTTGAGCCAGTACTATATAAATGTTTCTGATGTAATGTAAAGTACCTTTAAAACATTTATTCCGGGGGGGGGGGGGGGGGGAAGGAAGTCTGAAAATTAAAACACTTTTTCTTCATTTTAAGATCAAATTTACGTTTAATTGTTTGAATCCACATTACTCGCCAGAATTGTAGACTTGGGACCTAAGATCGGCATAGCAAAAAATAAGACGCACACAAGGCACATCAGAGGACTTGTTAATCAACATAGAATTGGTAGTGCAATAATGATAACCCAACTAACTATTCCCTAACTAACTAACTATACTTACTAACTATCCTTACTGATTAACTAGTTAGCTAACTAAGTAATAAACTAACTAACTAACGTCTTCGATAGCTTAAATTAATATAAGACCTGGTTTTGTCTTCGGAAAAACAGTAGTAGACAGGGCTTGGTTTAGACATCACCATTGAAAAACTCCGATAATTAACATGAGAAAATAGCTATCAACAATGCGCATCACTGTAAACGGATAGAATAAGTAACAGATTTCCCTTATCTCAGTCACGTAGCAACAGATGATTGCAAAAGCAAAACAAACATCAAAAAGAGAATAGGAAAGACTAAAACTATCTTTCATAAGATGGGCAAATTATTGAAAGCTGGAGAGGTAAGCAAAACATCAAAAATAGGCATAGTCAAAAATTATATATGCTCAAACCTGCTATATGATGCATACACTTGGAAAATGAACAGACAACTAGAAAATTGAACTGAGTCTCTGGAAATGTGGATTTATAGAAGAATAGGTCGTAATTCATGAAAACACACCCAATCAAATACAAAGGTTATAGAAATACTTGTTAATGAAAAGGGAATTATTGAAAGTAAAAAAAAAAAAACCACCCTGAAATATGACCACATTAAGAGACATAATACGCTTTTAAAAACTATACTGGAGGTAAAGGTAGACGGCAAGAGAGGAAGAGGTAGAAACGCTACATGTGGAATGATAACATCAAGAGATGGACGAACATCAGTCTGGGAGAGTGTACAACCAGGACATTAGACTGAGTGTGTTGGAGCTCCATTGCAGCCAACCTTCATTGTGGAGACGGCACCAGTTTGACTGAGTGGTAGCCATGCATGTCAACCACTCACTCCTCATATGAGACGGCGACTTGTATAACGAGTTTGTGTTGTTCCGTATGTCAATGCAGGACGCTGATATGTTCTGGGACTTCATTGCTCTGCGGCCAGAGACAACCCATGCTGTGCTGCATCTGTTTTCTGACCGTGGCCTGCCCGATGGTTACCGCCACATGCACGGCTACGGGAACCACACCTTCAAGATGGTCAACAAGGATGGGTGTGTGTACTACGCCAAGTTCCATATCAAGGTGAGGTGGCATGGTTCCTGATCTCTCTCTCTCTCTCTCGTGTGTGTGTGTGTGTGTGTGTGTGTGTGTGTGTGTGTATGTGTGTGTGTGTAAACAAGGATGGCTGTGTGTCCTACGCCAAGTTCCATATCAAGGTGAGGTGGGAATGTTCCTGATCTCTCTCTATGGTTCCTGGTCTCTCTCTCTCTCTCTCTCTCTCTCTCTCTCTCTCTCTCTCTCTCTGACTCTCTCTTTCTCTCTCTCTCTCTCTGTGTGTCTGTGAACAAGGATGGCTGTGTGTACTACGCCAAGTTCCATATCAAGGTGAGGTGGCATGGTTCCTGATCTCTCTCTATGGTTGCTGATCTCTCTCTCTCTCTCTCTCTCTCTCTCTCTCTCTCTCTGTGTGTGTGTGTGTGTGTGTAAACAAGGATAGCTGTGTGTACTACGCCAAGTTCCATATCAAGGTGAGGTGGCATGGTTCCTGATCTCTCTCTATGGTTCCTGATCTCTCTCTCTCTCTCTCTCTCTCTCTCTCTCTCTCTCTCTCTCTCTCTCTCTCTCTTTCTCTATCTATCTGTGTGTGTGTGTGTGCGCGCGCACGCGTTTGTGTGTGTGAAGAAGGATGGTTGTGTGTACTTTGGTAAGTTGCCAGTCAGGGTAAGATGGGATTGTTCACTCACCTGTTTGTATGTGTGTATGTGTTTGTGTGTGTATGTATCTGTGTATTAGTCTGTGTTTATTGTGTCAACTTGGACACTGGGATGGATATGGGAAACTATAAAAAGTTCCACGACAGGTTCCACCGTCACGTTGTACGCGTCCGTTGCTGGCATGGCTAGATTCATTCTCATTAAATGACCAAACTATTCCAGTCTTTATTTTTCGATGAATTTAATTATAAGTGTAGCTCCGATACTTTTGGTAATTTCTTTGTTTCTCGCATGATCTTTTCTAGTTTTGTTCACGGTCTTTCTCAAGCATCTCATGTCGCCGGTGGTCAGATATCTTTCGTGTTCTTTAGTCAGTGTCCAGGTCTGACACTGAGAGGACGATGTTGGTATGAAGTTCATTTATAAGTTTTTATTTTTTATTTTTGCTGGGATAACTGCGTGTTTCAAAACTGGTGTCAGTCGATACGTGGTATTGTTGGCTTGCTGGACGTGTAGTAGTAAGCGACTCCTTTCCACGCCTTTATGTGTATTTGGCATATAGGGCTAGAACTATATTTTATATACCAATCGGCACTTAGTGAGTGATGTGGTCAGCCTCACTCCGGCCGCCTTTATCTTCCAGGACTGCACCGGATACCCACTCAAGGTAGGGTCGACCTGGGAAGTCGAGGTCATTTTAAAAAAAAGAAAGAAAAAAGTCCGTCTCTTTCAGTACCCGAACCCGTGACCTTCTGATAGCAGGCGAGCGTCCAGACGCCACACCACGTGTGGTACCTTTGTTTACTTTGACAATCTGCTGATTCAACAGACGAACCAAGGCATCAAAAACATATCGCCAGAGGAAGCCACGTGCATATCAGGAAACGACCCTGACTTCGCCATTCGAGACCTGTTCAACGCTATAGGTAGAAAGGAGTTCCCTTGCTGGTCCATCTTTGCGCAGATTATCTCCGAGGAGGACGCGCGAATGGCCAAAGACTGGAACCCGTTTGATCCCACAAAGGCAAGTTGTTGTGTTTGTGTGTGTGTCACAGTGTTGGATCGGTTGCTACTGGCACCAGGGGCCCCACCACGATGAAATCACTGATTCCAGATTCTATGTGTTTTGTTTAAGATGACTTCAGTGGGCAGTGCCCAGTGCGCCTGCCTGACAGATTTGATACTGACATGTAACTACATGGGGAAGGGGGGGGGGATCGTCACGTTCAACCCGCATCCCCATAGGGGGAGTTTTAGGTTACAATTGTGACTATGTTATTTGCGCCATTTAAAATGGTTATAGGCACTGCACGCTATAAGAGCCTTGAAAAAGATTCATGCAGTGTTAAGGCGATCAGAGAAACACAGATCCAAATACTAGCCCGATACGGCGACAAAGTCGTCTACAGTCGAGCCAGAGGGCGACCTGGTCGCCGATGGGTTGCAACTGCATGGTGAATATAATTATATATGGGTATGTTGTAATGAGAAAAATGCCTGCTCTTAGAAAAATAATTTTTGTAGTCCTGTCTGTCCCACTCCATAATTTATTCAGTTGTTTTTGTCTTTGAAGAACAATTGATAATCGTCGTTTTATTTCTTTTATTGTGTCATGCTTGTTGGTAAACAAGGACCCAAGATGTTCAAAATTGTCCACAACCTCTAATCTTTCCTCGTTAACATAGTTATCATATTGCCTAATAATAAGATACATAAATGCAACGGCAGTTAGATGAAATAAAATAAACATTGAACCTCACTTTACCTTCCTGAGAAAAGTCTATCTACTAGAGTGGTGGTGATAGTCGAGCAGAGATGAAGTTACTGTTTGGAAGGAGAGGTCACTTCTAATAAAACCTAATGAATCTGAAATTCTTGAGTGTTTTTCTGTATTTTTTCTCGTTTGTGTGTGTGTGTGTGTGTGTGTGTATGCGAATCTCTCTCTCTCTCTCTCTCTCTCTCTCTATCTCTCTCTCTCTCTCTCTCTCTCTCTCTCTCTCTCTCTCTCTCTCCGCTACTTAGACCTGGTTGAGGCTCACCGGGTTTGACTCCTACTAAAAAATCTGTCCAAAAAACTTTCTTTCTGCTGTCTGCTCAGGATGTTCTGAAAATGAGACATTGTCTGGGGCATTCCATGGAACGCTAGTACGCCATGTTTTAGGCTTTGTTGGGGGGATAATTTTCGGCAAAGTCATTGCCATCTATCTGTGATTTTGATCTGAAATAGGTGAACAAAGAAAGCGGTGTCATGACTAATTTGGACTCGTACAAGTTCTAGCATACGGGTCACATACCAAGCAAATGTTTTCTTGTCTAAACAAAGTATACTAAGTTAAACGTATACCAAAGCTTACGTATACCGAGTTATCACTGTATTTATTTTAGTGAACTCGGGGTCAAAAAGCACTCGTGTTAGCCTGTGAGCTACAGGGGCGTCTACATAATGTATCTGCTCATGGGGACCTCCCATCCCCAGGTATCTTGATCTTTCTTCTTTTGTCGTCTCACTGATATCATGTTGTAGCTCAGTGTCATGGTGGCTTGGGTGAGAACAATTGTCATCTTTCTGCAGGTTTCAGCTACACCATTTATGCATCTCTTTCTCCCCTTCCTTCCAGACGCTTTGCTGTAAAATGTCTCCTATGCAATTTTTTCTTTCTGGCTGCATTCTCACTAGATGGCTGAACCATTTCATTCTTTGTCTGTCATTATAATCCAGACATGGTCTTATTCCAGCTTTTTCTCTTATGCTGGCATTCGTAACCCTGTCTCTTCTTGTGTTGTTAGTCAATTATGCAGAATGCGCGAAGGAAACCACATTTGGTTGAACGGGCAAGACGGCGACACTAGCAAAGCGCTGTGGAGCGCAAAGAGCATGGCAAGGCTCGTAGAACGCCCTGGTCATCCACTGCACCTAGACATATCTCCAGTTGTCCTGACTCTGTCTTGCCACTGGACCCAGATATGACAGGCGAGAGAGAGTGAGGTCGACGATACTTTGCAACTCTTCCTCACTTTAATCCAAGTCACCGAGCAAGTCACTCTTACATCCTCCCTGGCTCAACACTCATTCCTTGTCCTCACTGACCAAGAATTGTTCGGGCCCGCATCGGCCTCATCAGTCATCTTCGTACTCATACTTGATGAAAAAGAGTGGTCATCATCATCTTGAGGGACAACACACACACACACACACACACACACACACACACACACACACACACACACACACACACACACACACACACACACACACACACACACACACACACACACACACACACACAGTGACTATGCGACGACAGCGCATTTCACATATCGTTGTTTTCTGTTCTAGTGCCCTAGTGAAAACATAAAGTAGGTATAAAGATGCTGTTAATCAATTGCTGTTTTGCTGGAAGGGAGACACCTGGTGTCTAAGCAGTGGGGCTAACTGGTAGGTGACAGCATTTGCCTTTTGTACTCTGGCTTCTATCTATCCAGTTTTCTATGCACTGTAAATATGATTTCTAGATATTTGAATTCTCGTACTGGCTTGATCACCGTTAACACTTAACATGAACGTTCATGATTCCCCAGGTTTGGCCGCACGAAATAAGCCGCTTAGTGCCAATAGGCAAACTCATTCTCAACCGTAATCCAAAGAACTACTTTGCGGAGGTGGAACAGCTAGCTTTCTCGCCCGCTCACATGGTTCCAGGGATCGAGCCTAGCCCAGATAAAGTTCTTCAGGTATGAAATGTTGATCTGATAATTTGTTAACGTCATGTGCGAAATACCCGTTTCCCGCGCCATCAGTCGTATTGGGCATACAGGGCCAGATCTATATTTTATAGACCAATTGGCATTTAATAGGTGATATAGTCAACACCCCGCCGGCTGCCTGTACTTCCTAGAGCTCTAACCTGGTATCCACTTAAGGCTAGGTCAACCTAGGAGCCAGAGTCATTTTTTTAAACAGTCCGGTTCTGTCGAGACCCGAACTGACGATGTTCCGATCCGCAGGCGAGAGTCTAACAGCTACAGCTGTTCCCAGTGTGCCATATTGCTGTTGTAGTTATGAAGCTTGGTTAGGCAATTACTGGCGTAAGATTGTTGTATCCGGATTTGGAATGTATGATATCAGACTTCTGGTGATCTGGTGATGTGGTGATCTATTAAACTTACTTTCAGCTTCATAACAATCGGGTCACTCCATAGTTGCCCCGCACTGTGCCAACGAAAAACACACAGAATATTTATCACAGTCCCTTGTGGAAAGATCGACAGACTGTTGTCTCAGCATATGCACTAACATACACACGCATTAAAAGCAAACGGTAGAGATCTGAAGTGCTAACACAATCAGTCCCACATTAGAAATGCAGTTTATCATGGATGGTAGCAGAAGTCACCAACAGATCAGCAGTTGCACACTCGATCAATTTTAATCACATAATGGCACCACTAATATTGCGACAACAGTCGTCGCGCCATTTTCTGAATCTACAATTCACACCACTACGTTGGTCACAGTAGAAAAACATTTCAAAAAAAATCAGCAGCTCACAGTGTCCCGCCATGCACTCAACTCAGAAGCTGGGCGAGGAAACTATATTTTCAGTCTACAAATTAAGCAGAAATGCTCCGACCAAAAAATGTTGCCACGGTTAACAACAGTGACCGGAAGTCAATGTGGTGGGGATTTGTTCTCCCAGACTTCTGATGGTGTTTTGCATAAGCTGCAGAGCCTAGTTAAAATAAACCTCTCCATGTATGATTTCAGACATGATAAGATTTGGAACGTCTTATTTCAGACTATGACCAAACATTTAAAACGTCTGACTTCAGCCAGACTTATGGTCAAATATTTGGAACATCTGATTTCAGACTTATAATGAAAGATTCGAAACGTCTGATTTCAGACTATGATCAAACATTTAGAACGTCTGACTTCAGCCAGACTTATGGTCAAATATTTGGAACATCTGATTTCAGACGTTTAATGAAAGATTCGACACGTCTGATTTCAGACTATGATCAAACATTTAGAACGTCTGACTTCAGCCAGACTTAATGTCAAATATTTGGAACATCTGATTTCAGACTTATAATGAAAGATTCGAAACGTCTGATTTCAAACTTCCTACCTTGTCTTGTATAAGTTGAAGAGGCTGTCTCATTATCTTGTATGGCTATGTCATTTCATTATTGTAGTGTCTAAGGCATCTTAAGAACTAAACTTCTTTCTCTTTGTTTCTGAAAATGAGATAGGACACCTGCGCGGTACTCCAGTGAACTCCATAATCTGTTGCATTCCACATTTTTGAAACGCCGTGTAGTGAGTGTTTCATAGCTAGGCCTGTTGGCTCAACAAGCAGTTTCAGCAAAACCTTACTGAGTCGCCTTTTACGAGAAGCTTGATAGTGGCTCTACTCCCCCCCCCCCTTTCCCTCTCCCACAAAGAAATATGGCGCAATCTGAGAGGGAAAAGAGCAGACCACTGCTGTGTAACAAGCATAAGGTAAATGACGATACACGAAGGGATTTTCTTAAATCGACTGGAAAAGACCGTGAAGCACAGACAACGCAGTCTGTCTGTAAACCACAACACAAATGTCATGTGGTTATTTACCTCCTCCTGACCAGGGCCGCTTGTTCGCCTACTCAGACGCCCACCGCTACCGTGTGGGGGCCAACTATCACCAGATCCCCGTCAACTGCCCCTACAAAGCCAAGCCCAGCAACTACCAGAGGGACGGTCAAATGTGTGTGGACTGCAATCAAGGTTAGTATTCTGGCTTATTTCTTTTAAGACCATGCCCAGAATTGACTGCTGGAAGTGGGGACGGGGCCTTTATGATAGTACCGCAAGTGCTATAATATTGATTCCTAACTCACCTGAACTTATAATTTTAGGGATATCTGATCAGCTATCGCCCGCCTCATACGGGGCTGCCTCTAGCCAGTTAAGTGTTGTTTCGTTTCCTACGTAGAAGATGTTACAGGGTCGGCCGCGATTACGATTTATTGACTGTGAAATCGCTAAATGAAGGATACAGACATCATTGTGGATTCGTATGAACAGTAGTCATGGATCGCTTTGCATGGAGAGGGACATCAGGAAGGAAAGTATGACAAAGGACGAGACGGATCGGCTACAGACAGACACAGAGCTGTTCGTCTGAGAAGGATCATGTCAGTTGCATGTGATGGAAATAGTGGTGGTGAAATCTCATGCACTGATTGTGGAAGACTGGCCTGAGCTGGGCCTGCTGCTCAGACTCGCCATCGCCATGGGTTTGTGATACCTATGCCTTCCTCTAGCACAATGGAACATGGTCTGGACAAACGGAAACGTGCCAAGAAAGATTAAGTCCAGGGTAATTATCAGCAGTTTCGTCAGTTGAGTTAAGTTGAGCTTCGATAATTGATATCGCAGCACTCGGGGCATTCCCATATAGGCTTCATCCTCATCTTCAGCAGCCAGGTAAGACGTCATCACCGTCAACATCACCCCCAGGACCGTCTTGACCATCACCAACAATCCCCATTATCAGCACTCTGGTGTTTGAGGTCTCTTGGCTGAAGAAGACGGTGAACAAATTCGTTTTTGACAAATTTATGGTTCAGTCTGTCGGCTCTGTGGCTAAGTCGATGCGAACGCTTCGTAATGCCGGGATGCCGGGTTCGATCCCAGCTGCGGGCAATGCGCCTTGCATTGGTTTCGACAGTGGTATCAAGAAAGCCGACCGTCCAGAAGCAATGGCAAACTACTGGATGTAATTTGCCCAGAGAAACCACATAACAGCCAGGGGCAGTTAGGGTTGGTTCTGCAACGTCCTGTAAGGATGGTTCCGTCTGGACCTGAACCCCACCACCTTCGGATCTGCAGCCGAGCATCAAGCCGCTACATTACAACGGCTCCTTATATATATATATATATATACATATATATATATATATATATATATATATATATATATATATATATATATATATATATATATATATGACGGTAAAGATTATGGTAAAGATAATGTTGGTGTTGGTTGTAGTGACGATTAGAGTGATAATAACAATAAAAGTGATGATAATGATGGTGGGGATAGTTGTGATGATGACTATTATGATGATAAATTAAATAATTGAAATTGCGATAACAGTGATGACAATGGTGATAACAGTTATGATAATGGTGATGATGATGAAGTTGATGGCATCATCAGAGTTGTAACTCTCTCTCTATATATATATATATATATATATACGTTTTGATGTGACTTCCGTTATCACTGTGTCTTCGTGTATTACCTTCTTTTTAATTACTTTTAAGTGTGTTCCATTATTGGCTGTCTTTTTTTACCCAGACGGGGCGCCCAACTACTACCCTAACTACTTTAACGGACCAATGGACAGTTGCAAGTTCTTGGAGACGCCAATGTGTGTCTTTGGCGAGGTGGCCAGATATGAAACAATCGATGATGACAATTACACACAGGCCTCGGCTTTCTATCAGAATGTAAGTCATTTGACGAGGTTGCTAGACTGGCAGCTAGACAGACAGGGAGCTGGGCAGAAGGGACAGACAGGCCTGGCTGACCGACTGACTGTCATCCTGGCAGACACGCAAACAAACAAACACACGCACACACACACACACATACACCCGCGCGCACACGTGAGCCATTGAATTGAAATACGTGTATTGTGGAACAAACAACAAGCAGCTGTTAGAGCAGCTGATGAAAAATCAAATTGGTTTGTTGTGTAAAACACAAAATGCTAGAACCTTGAGGTTCGGGACCCTTGACACGTTTCCTTCTCAGGTTTTCACGTATGTTTAGAGAGGAATGTGGATCGCTCTTCTCCCATCCACAATGTACAGATATTTTCTGGAAAAGTGCTGCATTTTTTGGCCACCTAAATTGCAGCACCAGAGGGATTAAAACTGCAGGAAATCGTGACAGCGGACAAAAATGGAGGGAAAGAGAGGCAGAGGCAGACGGAGAGTGAAGATGCTGAACAGTCTCACATCATAGCATGGAGGATTATTTCTGTCAGATTTTATTGAATGTACACGAGACGGGACACGCCACATTAAATGGATTTTAAGAAGAAGACATTGCAACATCTGTGCAGAAAAATAAAAGTCGATCTATTCTTAATCGGTAGATATCAAATTTCATATTTTAGATTAGAAGCTGATGATTCAGTGATCCTAACAAACACTGTCCAATAATGAGACCAGTGAATCATGTCGGTCAGAACTTAAAGATAACAAATCTTTGGAAACATTAATAATAATGAATAATTTGTATTAATAATCGAATGTATCAGGGAGCGGATTAAACAGCAAAACTATGATTAAGCACCAGCCAGGAAATCAAAATACACATTTTTGAGAGCATGTATCTTCCCTGTAGCAACTTACGGATGTGAGTCGTGGACTATCTCCCACTCCTTAAGGAAGAGAATAGGGGGCTGGCTTTTGAGCTAAAATGCCATGGAAAGTTTTTCAGAATACCATCAATTATTTTTTTTTTATTATTAAAAAGAGAATAAGTACTGAAATTTTAAAAGATCTGAACATCAAGGAGGCAGTGGATTTATTACCCCCCCCCCCCCCACCTCAAATCCCTTTTCCCCCTCCTAAATCATCATGTAACAGGTCCTTTGCAGAACACCGTTTTCACCACGGTCTGACTGAAAAGAACTCAGTCTCTTGCCAGCTCTCCTGCCTCGTATACTTTCAAATTCAGTGAGTCGCTTAAATGCTGTGCCCATCTTCTTGTTGGTCGGCCCTTGTCCCTTCTTCCTGCTGCCAAGCCTTCTGCTATCCCCCCCCCCCCTCCCCAAATCCGCCATGACCAAAATATTTCAGCTTCAGAGACAAGATGCTGGTGTTTTTTTTTTTTAAAGCCAATCTTCCTTGATGTTGATAACTTTTAAAATGTGAGTATTTCTTCTCTTCTTTGTCGATGGTATTCTGAGAATCTGTATATAACATTTCAGCTCAAAAGCGGTTATTTTCTGTCTCAAGGAGTGGGAGGTAGTCGACCTCTCACATCCGCATGTTACTGCAGGGAGAACTTGAAAAAAGTAGAAAGAGTACATGATTAATTTTTTGGGGAAAAATTATTTCAGCTTGTGAAGAGCAGAGTTTTCTTACAACTTTCCAGAACGAATTAGGTTCGGGAACCAAGCTTCCCATTGTACAAGTTGATTATTTATTTGTTTTAAACATTCCAGTGTGCTATATTATTCTTGTTTAGCGTTACTCATAAAAATGTTTGGCTATGGTAGGTCCTGTGCCCAGATGAACAAAACAGACTGGCTGAAAACATCGGCAATTCGCTAAGAGATGCACAGTCCTACATCCAGTACCGCGTTATGGAGAACTTGAGCAATGTAGACCCCGAACTGGTGGAAAAGATCAAGATAGTCATTGGTCTTGCGGAGCCGATGGATGATGAGGGCTATGGCATGAATGATGATAACAACAACAGGAAGAAATAACTGTCTTTTGAGGAATGGGTAAGCACACGTTAGCTTAAAAAATTTTTTTTTTTAAACATTAAAAACAAACAGACGAACACAATAGACAAACAAAGCATGTTTCGGTATACATAGAACCTTACATCACATTGACGGCGTAATAATTGTAAGGTGCCGGATTCGATCCCAGCTGCGGACGATTTGGCAGCATACCACCTTGCTTCAGTTTTGACAGTGGCATCAAAGGCACATAGTACAGTACGATAACAAACGGTCATTGCCATTATTGTCTGAATTAGCCACTTTTGTGATGTTGTTGAAAGGGGGGGGGGGGTTAGGACCTGGTGGCCAGCGCCGTCGTCACAGATTATGTAGGTTAGGGCTAGAGATTTTGGGGCACACAAACGAAAATATTTAGCGATATAGAGATCACAAGAGGCGATATTAGGAAATGTATGACACTGCAAGGGACAGAAAGATGTAGACAGACTTTGTTACCAAAGTCATGTGGTAAAAAGTCTCATAAGAGTAAGTGTCATTTGTCTGCTTGTATCAGTGTCTGCTTGTATCAGTGTCTGCTTGTATCAGTGTCTGCTTGTATCAGTGTCTGCTTGTATCAGTGTCTGCTTGTATCAGTGTCTGCTTGTATCAATGTCTGCTTGTATCATTGTCTGCCTGTATCACTGTCTGCTTGAATCAATCTCTGCTTGTAACAGTGTCTGCTTGTTTCAGTGTCTGCTTGTATCACCGTCTGCCTGTATCAGTGTCTGCTTGAATCAGTCTCTGCTTGTATCAGTGTCTGCTTGTATCAGTGTCTGCTTGTATCAGTGTCTGCTTGCATCAGTGTCTGCTTGTATCATTGTCTGCCTGTATCAATGTCTGCTTGAATCAATCTCTGCTTGTAACAGTGTCTGCTTGTATCAGTGTCTGCTTGTATCACCGTCTGCCTGTATCAGTGTCTGCTTGAATCAGTCTCTGCTTGTAACAGTGTCTGCTTGTATCAGTGTCTGCTTGTATCAGTGTCTGGTTGTATCAGTGTCTGCTTGTATCAGTGTCTGCTTGTATCAGTGTCTGCTTGTAACAGTGTCTGCTTGTATCGGTTTCTGCTTGTATCGGTGTCTGCTTGTATCGGTGTCTGCTTGTATCGGTGTCTGCTTGTATCGGTGTCTGCTTGTATCGGTGTCTGCTTGTATCGGTGTCTGCTTGTATCAGTGTCTGCTAGTGTCGGTGTCTGCTTGTATAGGTGTCTGCTTGTATCAGTGTCTGCTTGTATCAGTGTCTGCTAGTGTCGGTGTCTGCTTGTATAGGTGTCTGCTTGTATAGGTGTCTGCTTGTATCGGTGTCTGCTTGTATCAGTGTCTGCTTGTATCGGTGTCTGCTTGTATCGGTGTTTGCTTGTATCGGTGTCTGCTTGTATCAGTGTCTGCTTGTATCGGTGTCTGCTTGTATCGGTGTCTGCTTGTATCGGTGTCTGCTTGTATCGGTGTTTGCTAGTATTAGTGTCTGATTGAATCGGTGTCTGCTTGTATCAGTGTCTGCTAGTGTCGGTGTCTGCCTGTATAGGTGTCTGCTTGTATCAGTGTCTGCTTGTACCAGTGTCTGATTGTATCAGTGTCTGCTTTGTGGCGCTGGGCGTCGCAGTTTAGCGGATGATCAGCACCCCAGCCAGGGCACACTGTGTTGCTTAGTATGTTGATATATTCCAAGTTGTCAGTTACTCCCAGCCCTGCAAGGGCACATTCGGTTGCTTGTTATGTTGAGATGACGTCTGGCTGTCAGCGACTCCCTCAGTCTACCTTCTAGCGACTTTTTCTTAATTTCATGATTAATTTTCACACAAAGTGTACCCTATAGCTTGCTCCACGCTAAATCATACATCACTCCACTGAAACTTTGTCAGTTCTCTCCCGAAGTTCCACATTTTTTATTTGGTCATACCATTTCATCCCATCTATTTTGCAAATGCACTAGTTAATGAATGTCTATAGTTAATTATTAATTGCCTTAGCTGTAATTAGTAATGCAAATAGGTCTAAAACAAATTTTACTAGCTCTCTATGTTCAATACACATCAGCACACAAAAAGACCCTTTAATTCATTTGGGTTGAGAAACGATCCTTTAATTTATTTGGTTGAGAAAAGATCCTTTAATTCATTTGGGTTGGTCTTGGTGAAACATTCAACATCACAGCATTCAGGACAAGCCCCTATTACCCCTGTTTCACTACCAACTGCTAGCGACGAGTTTCCATACGAATGGTTTATGGTGCCCGTTCCTGTCTGATTAACTACTCGTTTTTTAAGGGGATTGGGGGGGGGGTGGGGGTGGGGGGGGGTGTTGGTTCTCAGAGCCCTCACAGACACATCCCGCTGTATCATTTTCTCGAGGTATGGGTTTTCAGTATTTTCCACTTTACGATACAACTCACATATGATACCCCATCTCGTTCGTCTGCGTGATTTCGTAGCCGTTCCAACGGGCTGTCTTACGTTGTAGGGATTTTATGAGATCCACCCTTCTTCGCCCTGCCAAAGAGTGACCCGGCTTCGTTCGACAAGGCCGACACACTGTCTTCCAGATGAAACTGTGCAGCTTTTTTTTTTTTTTCGCAACTCTCTTTTGCGTCAACAACTGGGTTTGTTATTTCCTGAAATGTGTTTTTGTTGTCAGTATCTCAGGCGCTGCAAGCGCCTGTTTTTTTTTTCCTAGAAAAAAATACTACAGAGTGAACTGCCAAGAGCGCGACGATTCGTGAGTATCGAATCATTGATGTCTTTGTATTTTTTACTCTGGTTGCTTAAAACGTTCAAAACAAGCAACACAAAATAACCCTACAACGTAGGACAGTCCGTGGGAACCACTTCAAAATCACGCAGCCGATGGAGAAGGGGCTGACAATCGTGGGTTGTACCCATTTTACAACCCATCTTTACTACATAACCTTGATTTACTAACCCGCACTTGTGTTTGTGGGTCATCCGCAGATCTCCTCAACCCAAGGGTTACCGGATGCAGCATGAGCTTATAATTGGCCACAGACACAACACTCGGAGCTCGCGGCACACTCTTTCAAGGAATGAATTCTTTTCTAGAAGTTACCGGCAACAAGAGCACAACTGCAACAGGTTACACCATGGCTGGAGACGGCAATTTTCTAATTTATACTAAAAGTCCTTATGTTTTGTAAATGCCACCTTTTCTGTGGAAACACAGCCTTTCCGATAAAACACAAAAGATGCAAACGGGTTTCTGTTGATACATTTTGCACATAGAAAATAACCGGTGAAAAGATAATGTTAGAAAAACCACTGAAAACATTACGTGCCTCGTTTTCTTTCTTTTCTTCTTCACTCTCTCTTTTATCGCACTGGGTGTCGAGGGAGATATAAGGTTAAGGTTCATGCTCTTCTGGCTGCCTCGGCCATAGAGTTTCCACGCTGTTGTTGAGTTTTTTTTATGTTATCTTTCCATTATATTTTTGGTCTACTTCTTGCTCATCGTTAATCTCCTCTTTTGGTGAATGCCTTGAATGGTATGGCGTCACAAGGCATTCTCTCTTAAGTGGGCAAACCATTTGATTTGCTGTCTTTTTGTGTATAATTTAGAAGTGGTTCTGTGCCGACTTTTGTTTTTCTTTTATCACCTTATTCCTCATTTTATCTCTTCTGGTCACAGCCTTTTTAAGACATTTTTATGGTTACTTTCTTTTCTGGTTTGTTGTGAATGACCGTGTTTGGCACTGGTAGCATAGTGTTCAAATTAATATGCTCTCTATGAGATGTTTCTTATTATATTTTTATCTTTGTTATGATGTTGAATTGTTATATCAGTCAATTACACTGTAGAAAAACTTTGTAATAACACTGATCTACGCCATTCATTCATTTGTACTTTAAAAGGGAACAACTACTACTTTTCTTCTTCTTTTTCTTGTTCTTGTTCTTCTTGTTCTTGTTCTTCTTCTTCTTCTTCTTCTTCTTCTTCTTCTTCTTCTTCTTCTTCTTCTTCTTCTTCTTCTTCTTCTTCTTCTTCTTCTTCCTCTTCTTCTTCTTCTCTCCCTCCTCCTCCTCCTCCTTATTCTTTAGCATTCAGAGTCCTTACGGGTCACGGCTGCAGATAACACTTGCCTCCATTCATCTCTATTGCTGGCCGTCTCTTTCCACCTAGTGGCAGCAAAGCGAACGCATCTCATTTATAGAAAAGCATTAGAATATGAACAGTTAAATTTGAGTCTTCAAAAAGAATATCAAGTATAGGTTCCTTCTGAGGTATGTTTATGCGTTTGTTTTGGTTGTGCATCAATACAATCCCTATATATTTTTTTGTCGTTTCCTTATTTACGAGTGCTAACTGAAGAATTGGGTAACGCTGAATATGTAGAATGTGATACACTGATGAGGAGAAACTTCACTAAACTGTGAAGAAAATTATTTTGATGCTGAAATAAATATTTACTAATCTCATACAGTGAGACTGTTTTTTGGCGATTACGGCGTATGCGAATTTTGGAAACTCTTTTATAATAAGTGTACTGTATATAATTTTTGTTATTATTATTATTTTTATTATTACATTACCATCAGTAGTTAGGGCAGTTCGCCTGTGTAGCAGCGATTGTGTTTCCCGTCTGTTTAAACGAAGAAACAACTGCATAATTTCAACAATAAAATATAGAGTACTATTGTTCCTATGTTTACCGTTGCTTTGTTGTATTTGTGTTCAGAACTTAACGTAAAGAATGAGTGAGGGGAGACAGGCTCGCAGACAGTAGCAGTTTTCGGAGACTAAAATACTTGGGCCATGTTTGACGCAGTACGTCGTGACAGTAAGCTACAAGTACATTTTGAAAATGAAGAAAATTGTGTGCAATAACTCCATGTCATTGGAGGTTAGGAAACGAATTCTCACAAGCTATTTATTTAGAGCCGGTTGTAACATACGGCTGTGAAGC